ATTGACATTTATTGATTAACATGAACAAGATCACGGGTTAATGTATAAAATCCAGATATGAAACCGATTATGAAAGCCACTGAACGATAGAGCTCGCGTGTAATATACAAATACTCATAGATTATCAGAATAAAATTGAATGATGAAAACATACACAAATTCATGCAATCAATATAAACAAATAAGCATCACATTTGAATGAGTAAAATGAGATGTAAAACAATTTTGGTAAAAATGAAGGAAAATAAACAATTCACTTATAGCATGAACGCGTATTGATTAGTGCAGAGTGGAGTGTGAAAAATCGATAATCACTACCCGTATGCTAGCAACTAGCAGGGGATAAGACACAATGCAATGCTAGCCACTTTTAGGTTCCACAGTGATTTATGAGGTTTCACATTTCGAAGTGTGGAAAAGTGTGCACATAAAGAGGAGGAGGTTCACGCTACCTGCGTTTTACAATAAGTGTTACCGTATTCTAGCATACTAGCGTTACAGTAGTTGGTATACGGTAATTGAAGTTTAATCTTCGTCCACATCTTTGTCGTCTGTCTCAGCGACATGTACAGGAGGAGCTTGGTGGGGTGGTTTTAGGTTGTGTGTGCCCTAGAAGTGAAAATATTATAGGTGCACATTAGGAAAAATCGATTATCGATCGATTTACCTTGTACTCCTTGCCCAGATGTTCGGTAGTGTTCTTCCATTGTTCAATCTCGGATTTATCATGTGCTAATGCTCCCAAATAAGCGCAACCAATCACATCGTCACCAGTGCAGGTTCTGCAAAGAAATCCGTAGAACAATCAATAAAATCAATAATGCTAGTACACTCTCAACCGCAATAGTTCTTGCGTAGTCCCCCGCAACTAGTTTTAACTCGAAGTTCTATGATGTCTGATGCTTGCACTGCTTCATGCTAGCAAGCAAAGATTAGAAATTTGTGCCCGCGGCGGTTTCGTTGTGGCCAATTTTCTCGTAATTAAACACCATTTCACTGCAAACGCGTGCGAACTGCTCCGTTTGAAAGAGTGAATCAGATAGTAAATTAGACGTAAAAAAGTTAGCGCAGAGCATCACTTTAGTTGAAATTGTGCGCTCTGGTGTTTTTACTGATGTGTTTGTAGCTTTGAAAGGGGAAAAAGGGAGATTT